TAATCTAAAACACAAAAAAATAATAAAAATCTAATTTCAAGAAATAATGTAGCAATAGTCAAAATGCACATTGATAGTGTTTTATTATATAACCATATTAATGAAATAATTGTTGGAAGTAGTATTGCTACGAGACCTTTAATATTAAACTATTAAAATTATTAAAATTTTAAAAAATAATTTTTAGCATTGATTATTATTAAATATATATACCAAATTAGTTCCAAGGACTAGTAATATAGAACAATGGTTTATGAATGAATTGACGAAACTCAAAAATAAGATGAATAAATCCAAATAAAATAGTTGTACTTGAGCATTCAAAGAAATTTGATTCTCTGGAATTGTTGAAGCTATTAAAAAACAGCTCATAAAAATTGAATATATTGCCCATATCATAATACAATATTTTTTTCCATAGGCATTCTACTTGAAATTAATAAAAGCTTTAATTTCCAATATTTATAATAGTCAGAAGTGTCCAGTGAGGTAAAGGAATTATCATGCAAATAAAAAAATTCAAAGTAGGAATAATCTTTAGGATATGTTGCAAAGTTTAATAAAGGAATCATTAACCTTACAATTTTGTGAGAATAAATAGTAAAAAGCATCCTCGAATTTATAAACTTTTGATATTTCCTTATTCAATTTATTCATTCTATTTTTAATAAAAATCATATTTTTTTATTTTTCGAAGATCTAAAAAAGTATATAATAAAAGGGTGAATGAAGTATTAAATAAATGTACATAAGATTCATAATGATGAAGATGAAACAATTGAGAGGTATTATTTATAGTCATATTATCATCAATAGAAGCCAGTAAATTAATTTTAGATAAAAACTTTTCTGTTACTCTTAGATTTATGTCATGTCGTTCTAATTTCATGAGAGTATAAGTAACTTGCTCTAAAATTATCATAGATCATTTTGAAGCATTGACAAGCTATGATCATAAAGCTTATCAAGTAATTGAACAATTTTATCTTCTTGATTCCTCAGAACTAATTCATCAATTATATTTTTTCCATATAACTTTATAGCTGATTTATTAATCAAATAGTCTAGATCCTCTTCATTTATCTCATCAAACGTTGGTGGTTGTAAAAAGTCTAATTTCAAATTATTATTAAAAAAAGTGATAAGATTCCTAATTATTGATTGCTCATCTGTTTCTGATTTATCTCCAACATTCCAATAATAAATCAAGTTAATTGATTTTACTTCGGAATTGACAGTCCAGATTCGAATACCGGAAGAGGAAACAAATATTATATCTCCATTTTCAAGTATCTGATATTATAATTTATCTTGTGATTCAAAATCACACTTGTAGATTCTTCTGTATCTTTATCAGCTTTATCATTATTAGACTCAAAACGCACTTTTAAGTCATTTATAATTGCATTAAATGCAGTAGCTGCGTTTCAACAATCCAGGTGTGTGAACCTGCAGTCTGTTCAATGAGTTTCCTAGGTTCCATAAATATATTTGACTCGAATTTTTTTAAAGTAGTTTGTATAAATTGCTTAATTTCTTTTATATTGAAAAATATATCATCTATATAATGCTCTTTACCTTGTAAATAATTTTTCCAACTTTCATTTTGAGATACAGTAATCTCTGAATTGACAAATAATTATTATCAATTTTTATAATGTAGTCAGAGATAATATTAATAGGTCCAATTGATTGATTATTTTGGTATGTGGGAAAATAAATGTCATGTAAGGCATGAGTATTTTGGAACTTATCATTTATGTAAGGATTTACTATATAAGAGTTATAATTCTCAGCGGGTCAGACAAAAACAATCGTTCTTCTTCCCTTGATCCAATGAAATTAATAATCTATTATATTTTTATATTTCTAATATCTTTATGCACGAAATACCTACTATTTGCCAACACCATTCCGGATTTTGTTGAATAAATGTAGTCTACATTTTCTCCATTATCTAGAAAACCTACTACCGCTATCAATGTATTGGAGCTGTTCAGTTTCATTTTTAATAAACTCTTAAGCCTATATAAACCCCAATTTAGTATATACTGCCTCTCAAACTCTAAAGTTATTAAATTCCATTGCATTATTACAAAGGTTATTTCGAAAAGATCAAGAACATTCCATTTTGGAAAATGGAGGCTTTAAAATATTTTTTAGGTTCAATGCAATTCTTGCATACCCATTGAAGTTTAACATTGGATTTTGAAAAGATATAGGCCTGATAAGTTAGATCTCCTTTGATAACTGCAAGATCTCCATTTTCGAGAAAAGAAATATTATATATTTATTTCTCCATTCAATCCTTGCGCATTTGATTTGGTTGGGATGTCAATGATTTCTGTTAAAATAAATTAAATTAAATCTGAAATAATAGAAAAATCAACAATTTTAATTAAGTTTACCAACCAATATCGTAAGGATTATCCTTATATTTTAATCTTAATATGATTTATTACAATCTGAAACTCCTATTAATGCATTATCATATTGTATTTCTGTATTTAAAAATTCAAGTTTAATGTCGTTTATTGAATTGTCAAACTCTAATATGAGTTCTTTTGTGATCGTCCATCCAAGCACTGATTCGATTTTTATAACTCCAGGTCGCAATATATTGACCCTTTGGCGAAATTACATATTGACTGTTTGCATTTACTTTAGGATTATTTCTCTTTTCTCCATTAATCAAAATTTCAATTTCGCCTTGACTTCCACTTGTTTGTTCTTCAGGTCTTGATGTACTCATTTAGTAAGAATAGTATACGAACTATAATTCTTTTGAAGGATATGAAATTTGAGGCGTGATTTTTTTTTTTTTTATGTGATTGTAATTTTGAATATATTCAATAATTAGAACTTTCCTGTAAGTCTTCAAAACAAACATATTAACATGATAAATAACCATAGTAAACCTAAGTTTCTTATCAATTTCCAAAATTAATATTGTTGAGGCTAGATTATTTATCACAGGTTCTTGTTTGCTTGGTATTGTGTTAATCGCATTGGGATGATTATCTATAACGTAAGGCTGAGTTATTAGTCATGTAACTTATGGAGCAAATTTATTATTCATAAGGCGTAGAAGGTAATGGAAGGCTTGGATGATGCCAATAAGGGTTAGTAAGTAGTATAATATATAATAGGGCTTAAGTAAAATATCGTGTAAAACAAATAATATAAAGATAAGGGAGATAGGAGAAGAATAATGATTAGACCCGTCTAATCCGGGTGGCCCGCGTGAAGAATTCAGAAAACTTATGGCTATCATCCACTTTATATAACAAGCCAAGAATTTCAGGCAGCATTCCAATGTAATGCTTCAAGTTTGTCACCAAGCTAATAATTTTTTGATCAGTAACATCTCTGACATGGTGAGTCCGCAAGCCGCTGATCCTTTTTTTGTGCTTACAAATAAGAAAAGCCATCGCGCTAATCTAGTGAGTCTTCCAATTTAGGCAAATATTTGTTATAGATAAAAAACAGAGTGAGCCATAGGGTTTAAATAATAGATAAATTTGTAATCGGAGTAGAAACTCAGGGTATGGATATGCCGTATCATAACTAAGCTATAGCCTATAACATTTTCTTTAAATTACAATATATCGTAATATATGCATGTACCTTATTATTCATATCTCCTTTTCTCCCAAGAAATCCTCCACTTGTTTTTTCCATTCAAAAACATTATCTATCTTTGGTGTCAAGTTGACTAGTATCAGTGTCAAAAATCTTTTCTAATCAATTCTTAACTCTAGCAAATTATTTATTTTTGTGGCTCAATCTTCATCTTGGTAAATGTTTTCGCGGCATGATCAATGTAGTAATCATTAGTGATTAGCGTTAGTAATAAATGCTGTATATGGCATTGATCCAAATGGGAAGTGTCTAACTTTCATTCTTAGTGAATAAACTGGTTCTTAGTGAATAACATGTTATCTGTGTGAATAAGTTCTACTCATAGCATTAGATATACAAAAACCTACATATAGTACTGGCTATTTGTATAATATCTTACATTTGGTTATAGCTAATTCGGCTGCTTGTAATCTACGAATCTGACTATATATTCTGGCTGCTTATATAACAAACATATCTAACTTTACTATTAATAAGCATGAACTGGGATAAGACGTTATAAATAGTGAAGGAAGAATTACTATAGAGCTTTTGTTGTTTCTCTCTCCTTTCATTTCCCATTTTTTTTTTTTTTTTTTTTTTTTTTGCAGCCATAAAGTTTTACATGCACCATCCAACGTGACTACTATCGGTGCAAATTTTGATTGAGTAATCTATTTACTTGCCTTAGATTATAATTAAAATCGACATGGTCTTTGCACTACCTCCTTTGATTTTTCAATAAAACATTATATTTTTATTGCTATCTTCGTGCCACTACCAACATTATGACTATTGTATCAATAAACGTCATATTTATAAACGATATTCATAATCTAATAAAAAGTTTTAGAATAGTAATTCAAAATCGGTATTTTTTATTTATAAGGTAAACAAGACAAAATAGAGTTAAAATCAGAGAAACCTATTTTATTTTTCCGATTTATAATTCAACATCGTAAAAATACTATTGAAAAAATCCTATTTATTTTCGAAATGCGTCACTTATTTGTTAACTTTGAAACCCAAATGTCATAATTTCACTAACTAATTGCTTAGATCACCAAGCTACCTTCCCGACCTATCAAAATATTCGCTCTCATATAGTTACTTTAAACTTTAACATCTTACTCATCTCTTATTAAAAACAGTAGGTTTAAAGATAAAAAATAGGTTGCTTAAATTTGTTGTTTTGTCATGTATTACAAAAAATTTTTTATATACATAGCATAATGTTTTTACTAATAAAAGTATTTTAAAAATTACAATTGACTGTATGAATAGGTTGAGAGCAAAAATAGAGTAAATTTCAGAAATGTTCCGAAGGAAGTCATAAATAAGAATTTTGGAAGCTCAGTTTCGGAGGGTTTCGCCCAGTTTCAGAGGTTTCGGCCATTTCGAAGGTTTCTGCGATTTCGGAAGTTTCAGCCATTTCGGATACCGAAACTCCAAGGCCGAAACGTTTCGACTTTGGGGAGGTTTAGGCCGAAACACTGATTGAGATACATAATCGTAAGAGCTGTCGCAAGTATAGACAAGTCATATTTTAAGAGATCTTTGTCTGAAGATAAGTGAGTAAAGAAAGCTTGTTTCAATTTTTCATCAGATTTATAATTAAAGAAACGAGCCAATTTATCAGTAAATTCCCAAGATCCATTCACATTGCGCCAGCTAATAAGAATGTATAAATGCTATTGCTTAATAGTATCTTTGGAAAAGACAGAGTTTTCATTCACGTCGAAATCTATTAGGAAAATTGAACTTCCAAGTTTAAGTGTCCTCTAACTGGCTTTTGGCCAATCTGAAGAGAGAACGAACCACTGAAGAGTTTAATTTGATCCTCACTTTTTAGTAAAATGTTAGTATCCAAGACATAGCTACCGAGAGGTTTGTCCGATATAAAAAGATTTTCATCAAAGACTTCCACCGAAAATTTTTCGCCTAAACCATGAGCAGAAATTAAATGAATTTCATTCCATTTTGGATTAATTGTCACATGGTTAACCTTAGTTCTAACTACAGTATATAATTTCCGGCTTCATCCATAATGCGAACGTACGGATTAGGATTAGAAAAGTAAACCAACTATCGGATTTTGAGATTTTTGGCATCTTTAACACAGATCCTACTTATTCCCACAACGTCATCATTTAGAATTGGTTGCTCTTCTTCGTCGGGCTCATCAACAATTTCATGACTCTCACTAGTTTCGATATATTCCTTGAAAGTTACATCTTCATTTATAGCATCTTGTTCAACTTCAAATCTTTTGACAACAAAGATTCTAGCAGCCGCAAGTTCCTTATCGTCTGGTACTTTTTTACAAAGCCAACTCTGTGCTTTTTGGTATGCATCTACCCACATATCTCTAAAGTCAACTAATTCATATCGAATATACCAAAGCATAATAGCAGTATTTCAAATGTTATGATTAAATTGAGCAAATCTTGACGAGTAGGATGAAAAATGAGTTTCAATATGTTTTTTAGCTTCTTCAACTGAGCTGAAGCCAAAAGCTTCTGCCAATTGTGAGGTGAGTTCGAAATAACCAGATTCATTCTGGCAACTGAGGAACCGACGGACAACACGTTTATCAACATAACGCCGAATAATGATTGATTTCTTAGACAATAAGAAATAGGAATTATTAATAAATCAATATACTAGTCACATGCAAATCGATAAATTAAATTATGTAGCATTGCTTAATAATGAATGTTCTTTACAAAATTTTATTATAGGCATTGTTTCATTCGTTAATACGTATAATCATAAAAATAAAATTGGTAAAAACTAATTTCATAACTTTTAGTTTATCTTAATATTGTATCATTAACAAAAAAAAATAATAATAACCCTTTTCTTACATAGAATACCCAAACTTCTTTGTTGATTCTCATCTACCCACTGAGTGGCTTTAAAGAGTCGAATAATAAATTTGTTCGAGTTATTGTAAAGACATTTTTCAACTTCAACATCGGGTACATTTTCACTCAACCAACTTTCAGCTTTGCTGCAAATATTTTCCCACTTATGACGTTCTTTCCATAATAATACTTTGAGGAAGAATGTGACAAGCACTGTAGCCCAAATTCTGTGATCCAAATTACGAATCCCTCATCCTTTTGTACAAAATCAGAGAAGGCTTTAGCAAGCTCATCTTCAATATGGGGTATCTAGTGGAAGATCCTAGGATGAGACTCTGGAGGAAAAGGACCTGCATTATAAAAGCTTGTATCAAGGATCAGGAGACCTTCAGACCTGAGATTGGGACCCTCAGGTTTGGGTAGACCAATCCCCCAGACCATCTGAATTAGAAGACCAAAGACCAAAGTATAGAGTACGAATGTGGGTACTGGGGTCATGAACCTTACAAGGGGTGAGAAGTAAGTAATAGGAGGACTAATTAGAAAGTTTTTGCTTAAGATACAGATTGTGTTATGGCAGCATCTCAAAAGGTGGCATGAGATACAAACATAATAGCAGCAGACAATATGTACTAATTAGAATGAATATTATCAAATGCGTATGCACCATGTGTAGGGTAGAACCCTTGAGCAGATTACTTAAATTAGGTACCAAAAGTGCACATGTGGCTAGTTGTACTTTTGTTATAATTGTAATAAGTTCTTAATATTTAATAAAAAGGTTCTTAGGCCAAAGAGGTCATCTTAAAAAGGAAAAAATAATAATAATAATAATAATAATAAATTAAATTAAAAATATCTAAAAAACTATATGAAAGAGAAAAGAAGTACTAGTAAGTGTTCTATTTAAATAATATTATGTATATATTAAAGTTTAATACACAAATATTAATATATAATTACATAATTATAGTAGTTTTAGCAAACTACACTTCTGTAGTCTGCTAAATTATAAAAAAAAATAATTATTACCTAATAATATAATGAATAAATAAAATATTATTATTATTAATAAATTATTAAATAAATAAATAAATAAATAATAATAATAATAATAAATTAAATCTACCCAGAAAAGCTAGATAATAACAGTACTTTAACATTCTAAGTACTTTTAACTTTTACAAAACTATGAGAGCTGGGTATACAGTGAGCAACACTGTAGAAGACAAATCCAAAATCCCTCTCATAACCTTTAATCCATCTATTTGCTTTAATTGCTTTTTTTTAGCACATAATAGTCCTCTAATTTAATCTCCTCAAACCTTCAACTCCTTTTTTTTACATCTAGTATACATAGGACTATAGAGTAAAATCTAAGATCAAATAGTCATATCTATTAAACTGGAATTTAGTAAAGCATATATTTACTTACCTAATAAAACTTGCTCTCTACCAGACCATATTATTATACTTTATTTAGAGCTTATTACTCAATTTTCCTTTTTTCTCTTAAATCCTTTTATATATACAACACCCCAACTCCCAACTCACTCTACTCTCCTCTTAATCTTTCAATTTGTATTTATAATATTTTAACTATCACTAAATATAAGTCTTATCTTTTCCAATCAACACCTAATAGTACTATGTTTAACTATAATCTCCATAACATCTATAGCCTATGGGACATACTACTTCAATATCATATTAGCAACTTTTTTAACCATATTAACAATACTTCAACTCTTGGCCTAACAATCTATATCAGACTTCAACAACTTCAAAATAATCTATGATTAGTCACTAATATTCTCTAACACCCCAATCCTTTAATCGATAGTTCCAACAGACATACTACTACTTTTAAAATTATACAACTTTAAACTCTCTTAATATTTCTATTACTTCTAATTACAACCTTGCCTGGACACAAACCATATCTTGTGATAGCCTTCTTCTTGAAAATATCTTTACTCAACATTCCAATTATCACACTTTTAAACAATATTAAACAATAACTCTGGCACAAAGGATTTTTTTTCTTGAACAACTATATTTTGCTAACAATAATATACTACTTAATTGGTCTCACTTATCTCCTAGATTACTTCATATCCCCAAGAAAAAAAAACCCACTTGGTTTAACTATTTAGAAAATACAATTTTGTCTTATAGTTCTTCTTATACAATTATTCTCTCTTTCTAACCAACAGGACATAATCTTTTTGCTTACCAAACCAATCTCATAAACAAATCTCTCAAATGCTGGTTACTTACCTTATATAATAATAGTATCATTATTTGACAAGTTTACAAAACCTTTTGTCAATCTAATACAATTTCTATTATATACTGGCAACATAATATTAATACCTCTTGCTTAAACTATTACTCACTTCCTCCTATCTCCTGTAAGCTTTGTCTAGTCTGTAGTCTTAACTCCAATTATATTTCTAATTATTGCATACTTGAAGTCTCCTCTATTTTCTTTACCTAATTTTTTGAAAAAATCTAATAATCAACATAAACTCAATGCTAATTATATTAATCTTATACAATCTACAACTATCAAAAGCCTACTTGATATTCCACTATTACCTCTATTAATCTTACTGATTCCCTTATATCTTTGCTTTTTTATAATAATATTACATTTAGCAACCTTTTCCAAATTGCCCTAGCTAACAAACCTTACAAGCAATTTACTTTCTTTACTGACGGTTCTGTCAAAAATTTTGGTATAAAGCAATATCTATGAGTATTAGTTAAGCCCAAATCTGTAACAATACTGTTATCTACAATTTCTTAGCTCAAATTACCAACTGGCCTTCATTATACAAAGCTGAGCTTCTTGCTATCCTCTTTGCAATCTCTACTGTTCCACACAACTTCTCTGTCAACATCTTCACTGACTCTTAATTTGTAATCTTCAAATATAACAAACTTCTCCAAACTTCAAAATTCTCTACCAAATATTTCAAATTTAACTTATGGCCTATTTGGTATACAATTCTTAACTCTCTTAAAGCCTATAATATTAGCTTAACCTTCTATAAAGTTCAAGCCCATGCTAATAATATCTTTAATAATTTAGCAGAATATCTTGCCAATAATTATATATTATCTCCTATCCTGCTATTTAACTATTTTAATATTCACAACTCATACTTCTTTTTCTAATTGCAAAACTTCTTTATCAATAGCCCTATTAGATGATTTATCAAAAATATTTGCAAAACAAAAACTATTTCTATATACAGTCGCACCCCCCTAAGTGCACACCCCCTAAGTGCAAGTACTATGTAAAACCTCTCTAAATGCACGATCTAGGTTGGCCCCAACTTATAAGAATCCTATATATTTTACTCTCTATAAATGCAAACACTCTCTAAGTGCAAAATTTTAATTTTTTTCACTATGGTCTCGACAGGATGCACTTAGAGGGGTGTAACTGTAGTCTTCACAAAATCTTGTCTCTGAATGGTTACACTTTTCTAATATTATAGACTGGAACTTCATCTGGCTTTATTTCTATAATAACCAAAAAAGATCATATAACTTTACTAATCCCAAGCTTAATCATTTCAAATCTTTTAAAATTAAAATGCTATTTAACAATCTTTTCACTTATTTATACTTTTATTCTATATTACCCAACATATTTTTATCCTTCTATTGTTTCCAATACAATCTTCCTAAATTCTCTACTCATTGGTATACTTGCTCTAATTATAATCTTTATTACAAATTATTCACTCTTCTATTTTTAAAACTATTTTTAATTTTAACCACAACCTTCTTCATCACGAACTAAACTACCTCATATATACAATCTTTTCTTATTCCTCTTTTTCTCTTCACCTCTCACCACTTTATCCATACTCTTTTCACTCTACTCTCAGAGGCCTTATTTCTACTCCTCTTATTCAATGCATATTACAATTTGATATTTTATACTCTATTGCCTCTCAAATTATTATCCATGTTCTTATCAAAATTTCTAACCAACTTTACAATCAAATTTTTAAATCATACTGTATTAATTTTTTTACTTGAAAAAAGTATATCAAATATCTTCAAACTTTGTTTTTACCCAACCCCATCACAGCCTCTTCCCTGTTCCTATTCTAGAACTCGTAATATATTTATATACAATTGCTTCTGTAATTTACTAGATCAACTACACTTTGATTCTAATTCTTGCCCACCTGCTAGACTTGCAAATTGTAAATTTAATATCTAGGCTACTTCTGGGCCCAGTATAGCATCTCTACTAACTTTATTTTAACTATTCAAGTCTAGATGAGTTTTGACCACTCTAGTAGGTTTAGTTTGCAGATAAATAATTAGTCTAAGCTCTTATTCTTGTATGTAGTTTATATTTATTTATTTGTATATAAATTAAGTTTTTATTTAGTTTCTATATGTCTACTTATATAAATTACTCAATAAAGATATAAGCAAGGCCTCATTTTTTAAAATTAAAAAAAAAATAATAATAATAAATTCAATCAAAAATACCTTAAAAACTATACAGAAGAGAAAAGAAATACTGGTAAGAGTTTTATTTAAATAATATTATATATATATTAAAGTTTAATTTTTTTTTTTTTTTTTCAGTGTTAAGATAATCTCTATAGCTGGGGGCTTTTTATTAGATAATTAACAATGTTTACAATTATGATGAGGGTACAACTAGCCATATGTACAACTTTTGGTT